ATTTTTTTTATTCACTGTCAACAACATAGCCCGTTCAATGCGAAAATTGTGAAATAATTCTGCGTTTTTCGCAGTCTTCTACTAAGCAGCCATGACAGTTCACGCCTGACGTAATGAGATGACTGTTAACGCGTGACGTAATGAGACTTTCGCTTAAAATTTAGAACAACTTAATAAAGAAAATGTCGGTGTTAATAAATTATTGTGCTGAATTGTATCACAAAAACATCGATAAATAAAACCATTTTAAGTGTTATTTTTACGCTTCTGGCGATATTTATGCTTAAAATAAGAAAATTCCAAAAAGATCTGTTCCTATAGAACCAAAATTCTCATTGGCTGTCCCAAAATACAATCTATCAAGGTCAGTAAACATTGCGGATAAATTCGAGTTGTGATGTTGCCATACACGAAAAATAACCAATTCTGTAAATTTTTGGATTGATTTACATTTTGGATGACTACTTTTTTTGAGTCAAGGTAAAAAATGTGAATAAAATAGCCATTTAATAACAATTTGAGCCGAAATCCGTGCGGAAGCGAATAGCTCCCGCTGCTGCATTATTACAGAGATCCTAAGGAGTTGTAGCCCTCTCTCTCCCCCTCCCCCTCCCAAATAGGGAGAGGGCTAAATTATTGCAGCTACAAATTCGGCAATCGATATATCGAAATCAAAATATGTTTGATAGGCCTTAAAGGGGCCGAGTGGGGTTTCCGTAACGTAAAACTTCGCGCGTCTGTTTTATACTTGGATATTTTACTTGAAAAAGACACTAATGGTAATCTAACAACAAAGCTCTATGATAAACGCGATGACTTTAACTTTCCTTACCTATGCAGCAATATACCTTCATCACCCGCATATGGAGTTCAGATATCTCAGTTGATTTGATACGCTAGAGCATGGTCTACGTATGGACAATTTCTAAACGAGGTAAATTATTGACAAACAAGTTGATGAAACAAGACTTTCAGCAGTCTCGTTTAAAGTCATAAGTTCGTAAGTTCTTTGGTCGATACCATGACCTTGTCAGCAAATAAAATTTATCATTGAGTCAAATGCTGACTGACGTTTTTCATACCAATTATTAGTCCATTATTTATATACTGAATTGACGACAGATTTTTCCGTTATTTCGGATCATGACAAGGAGCACACGGTCAGCAGAGGATGCTCACTCCGCCATGGCACCTGATCCAACCTCTGACATTTTGGAGATCCGTGTTTGCTCTGCCCCTATTTTGTTTTGTTTCATGGACTTTGATATTGAATACTGTTCGTTATCTCCATATCCTTCATTTTGCAGTAGTAAAATGAAGCGCATTTACTGTTTTGAAGCAATCTTTTCACAAAATTAATAAAATTCAGATATTATGGGTTGAAAAATGCCATTACAGTTTTTATAAAACTGATTATTCGAATAATTTTTCAACTAATAGGTATCTATATATTGACGTCGTAATAGTGTGTTTTTGACGTAAGGATAATCGAAGCTCTCAAAGAGGGGGTTAAAAAATGTTATAAAAGTATCAAATATAAGCTCTTGAAATTTGAAACATAGGAATTTTAGATTCTCTCAATTATTTTTATAATTTTATGCATAAATTTTTGGTGTCTGTTATAGTTTGTAGTTCTCCATAAAAACAGGAGATGTCTTAATTTTGACATTTTGAGATGTCCCCTCCGGAAACAAGACGGTGGAATTTTGTGTTTCTTACATATAATGTACAATTTAACATTACTCATTATTATACTTCTGTTAAAATGTTTCATATATAAAGTTCATAAGGTAAAATAACTATCTTTTATAGTCCACGCAAGGCAAAGCTATACCTCGGGGTATAGTATACACTTATCCACTGGGTGTGAGTGGGATAGCTCTTTTATCATACCCGCGACAGGAACTATTCCCCGAGGGCTTGCCCGAGGGGAATAGTTCCTGTCAAGGGTTTGATAAAAGAGCTATCTCACTCACACCCAGTGGATAAGCGTTTTATTATACTGATGTATAATATAACTTTTGAGGTTTAAATTTTTTTGGAGTAAGATAATACTGCAAGAATAATCTGAAATCCTGATGACGTCACAATGCTACTGAAGTCATTATGACATCATCATGTCTATAGATTTATCGCTGGAAATCAAAATTGGTGGCAAAAATTGCATGAAAATTTTCCGAGGGTGGATAGCAAAAACTATACCCCGGGGTATAGCTCAGTTAAGCCTGGACTATAAAAGATAGTTATTTTACCTTCTGAACTTTATCTAGGAAACATTTTAACAGAAGTATAATAATTTTTGCTATCCACCCTCGGAAAATTTTCATGCAATTGTTGCCGCCAATTTTAATTTCCAGCGATAAACCTTTAAACTGATGATGTCATAATGACTTCAGTAGCATTGTGACGTCATCAGGATTTCAGATTATTCTTGCAGAATTATCTTACTCCAAAAAAATTCAAACCTCAGAAATTATATTATACATCAGTATAATATAACGCTTATCCACTGGTTGTGAGTGGGATAGCTCAAACTCTTGACAGGAACTATTCCCCTCGGGCAAGCCCTCAGAGAATAGTTCTCTGTCGCGGGTTTGATAAAAGAGCTATCCCACTCACACCCAGTGGATAAGTGTATATTATACAAAAGTCTATTGTAGTTTTTGTATAATATACTTTAAAGTGCGAAAAAATGACATTTTCCTATATAATCCTATAGAAAATTTACCTGGATTTTGAGACGGTCCCAAAAAATACCTGCAAGGTAGAGTTTCCCTTAACTTGGCATGTGCACTGGAGTCAATGTAAGTTACATAACTGCCAAAACGTCATTAACTGTCAAAAAAAAACAACAAAAAAACAAAAAACAAAAAAAAAACAGGGGCACCGCAAAGCGTAGGACCTCTCACGAAAAGAATATTCATAAATAACAAGATGAATTGATGCAAAGCATCAAATCGACCACAAAAATTTAATATTTTAGTATTTTAAAAAGATTTTTTTTTATGTTAAAAAAATCTGTAGAAACAATATGTTTGTGTAACACTGATGTACCCGTATGGCAACATAGCGCAGATTAAACATCTATTCAATGCAAATTTAATATATTGGTACCCAAAGTAGGGTATTCTCACTCGAAATACAATTGTAAAATATAAAAGTAGGTCAAGGTCATTTTTTCATAAGTATGGAAATCTCCAAGGTCAAGGTCTAAAGGTCAAGGTAATTTGTATCCTATGAAAGGTCTTGCCATAAAGAATACATATGTGAAGTATGAAAGCCCTATCCCTAACCCTTCAAAAGTCATGGCTAAGGTTAAAAATCTTAAAGAGTAGGTCAAACTCCAAGGTCAAGGTCAAAGGGTAAAAATTCTTGATATGAAGTGAAAGGTCTTGTCACAAGGATTACACATTTGAAGTATGAAAGCACCAGCCCTTACCGTTCAAAAGTTATGGCCAAGGTTAATTTTTTTCATAAGTAAAAAATCTCCAAGGTCAAGGTCAAAAGATCAAAGTTGTTGGTATCCAATGAAAGGTCTTTTCTGAAATAATACATATATGAACCCGAAAAAAGTTCTTGTTACAAGGAATACACATGTGAAATATGAAAGTCATAGCTACGCTAAATCAAAAGTTATGGGCAAGGTTAAAGTTTTTGCGGACAGACAGACGGACAGACACGACAAAAACTATATACCCCCGAAACTTCGTTTACGGGGAATTAAAAATCAAAATCAAAATTATTGCGCGCGATAAAGTAATACAGCTCAACGCACTTTTTAAACTCACATAAGATTGTTTTTCGCTTAAATTAAGGTCACATTTTTCTTGCAATAAAACTTAAAATTATCGAGCTTTATATGAGACATAACCTTTATATTATAAAATATTTCATGATAAAGGTGCATATTCTCTAAAATTATTTTAAGGATATCCGATCCTCGCCCAGGAAGGATAACTCCAAAAATTAATATTTAATTTGAAATGCATTAAAATGAAGCTTGAAAATGAAATTTTTTCATGCAACAATTTTCATTTTATTCACCTTTATAAGATTCAACGTTTTTGGAAGTCTTAGAAAAGGTCTTATAAAAGTTGACATTTGTACCCTATAAAACGAAAGAAAATTAATACAGTTTATGAGAAATAAGATTTTCTTAAATCCAGCCTTAGATACCAATAATTATTAGCATGATATGAAATAAGAAGTGATTTGTGGTGTCTTGCGATGATAGCAAAAGCCTTTTACACTTTGTATTATAGGATACATGTCGGAAATAGAAGAAAAAAAATACCAAATAAGTATAAAAATAATTACAATTTCTCTGAATGCCTGGATACCTATCGTTTTTTAACCTAAAATATATTTGTTGATCAATTTGCAATTAGAAAATGCATAGCTGATATTCCTATTCGCTTTTTCTACAAAAATATTAGAGATTTGACGATTTTCCTTATATAATATGATTAACTTTAATCTTTAACTTTAAAGAAATGTTTTGGATAAATATACATAACTTTAAGGATTCAAAGATACTTTTATGAGTATTTTTAATTACTTAACTGCTAATTTTATAAACCTGAGGATCGGACTGCCTTAATTCTTAATATTTTGGCGATTTTTAAAACGTTTATTCATCATTTTTAGCAGAGACATAAATAAAGTTATCTGCTTTTAGACTTATCAATTAAGAATTATTCCATCTACACAAGGGAAAAACCGTCTCATTTCCCTACGTGCACATTCTAACACAACTACAAATACACGTAGATCGTCATCTCCTGCAGCCGATAAAGACAGCCTTAGACATCGATCCCGATACAAATTTCAGCACTTCCGTTCCGCACAGGACATATAATCCACAAGCAAAAACACACACATTCGATTGCATCAATATACAGTAATACCACCAGAAAGAACAAAAATATGTTTTCATTGTTGGTCAGTTTTAATAGAAAATCAAAGTAAAGAATACATTTTGTCCTACGAATCCACCAGAATTACTGCGAAGATGATGCCAGAAACATACTTACAGTAATCACAATGTTGGATATAAAAAATGACCAGAAAGCAAAAAAATCTATTGTAGAAGCTACATGCTTCCACTCATATTTTTCTTGTGCACGGCAATTGTTTTGTTGTTTGTTATCAAGACTCCCTTTCGTTGTTAATTCCGAAACCACTATTTCAGTTACCCTCGCTTTTTTACATCTCATTTTTCTTTGAAGTCGGACGAGCATGACCCAGTATTTCGAAATTTCCTCCTCTTCATCTCTATGATGAAGGCGGAGCTGAAAAGCTGTAATAACGAGGGCTATCACTCCATATACCAACTGGACAATCAGGTACATCGCTATAATTGGTGTATTATCGGAGGAAGTTGGCAACAGTGTGGAAATAATGGTAAGAAAAACAGCAAAGGCCAAAAATACGGTTACACAAAATGACATTTTCTCTCCTGCATCGACTGGAATCACAAAAACTAGCATATTCAAAAAACCTAAGAAAACGATGGGTAGAATTATATTTAAAATAAAATACTGGGACTTTCGGCGTAATTTGATGGTGAATTTGACTTCAGATTCGCTATCTTCTTTCTTAATATCCGATGATGTGTCGATTATATCCCAAACTCCATTGGCCTCAAATTCGTAAAATTGGATTCCTTTCGTTGATTTAGTAATTTCTATCTGATCTGCAAAATGACTCCATGTAACAAATTTAATATCACACTTCTGTGTGTCGAATGGGAAGTTGGTTATGTCCATTGAACAGCGACTTTCAAACACATTGAATGGTAACCAATCAACTGACCCTTCATGATTGATTGACAGGTAGTAAAAGCTTCCTCCCAGCTCCTCGAACTTTTTAAATCCGTTCTTCAGTACAAGATCAGGCTTCCATATTTCATTCTACAATTCAAATACGATTTTTGTTCTTATAACTTTTAAAATATAATCCTAGGTTAATTCATATAATATGGAATCACGTAAAGGTTTTTATAATTATATTCTATGAAAGAATGGAAAATTCTAGTAATGTAACGCCATCACACCACGTATGCACAAATGCAACACGTGATAGATGCCAAATGTAATGCAGAGGGTGATAGAAGTACATATAAATCTTATACTTAGATTGGATATTCATATAAAGTAATAGGAACAGACTATATGTCAAATAGATATTATACTCCTTGAAAGTTTACTAGAGCCTTACAACTTGAACTTCTAAGCAACAAGTCAACTTGTCATGATTATGCGATGTTTATTTTTTCTCACAAGCAATTCAGTTACCTGATTAATGTCATAGAAAATATACATGTATAAGAATTATGAAATTAAAACCTATGTGTCTATAAAAAATCACCACTATCACCACTACTGACATATTAAGTTAACAAAGCCTTGGGCATTAAATAAAAGGAAAATATTGCCAACAACAATTGAGATTCGCACACAACTTATGTCTAATAGACTCCTTTTATCGTATCTGCCCGATGTTGTAATGAAGAAGGCTTTTGAAATATCCTTTCATTCAAGAGTGTGAGTAATTGTTATATAAATTACGCAGACTTGCCACGTAGGCATATTTCATGAATCAAGCTAGCACTTCATAAAACAAGATGTGTTTGTGAAACACTGATGCCCCCTGTATGGCAACATACAGCGAAGATCAAACTTTTTAAAATACAAATTTATGTTGCTACCCAAAGTAAAGCTTTCTCACAAGAAATATATTTTTGAAATAGAATAGAAATAGCCCTAGCATCACCTATTCAAAAGTTATGGCTAAGGTTTAAGTTTTGAAAAAAATAGTTAAAATTCCAAGGTCAAGGTCAAAGGGTAAAAAATGTTGGCATCTAATACATGTAAAAGGCCTTGTCATAGTTATTAAAATTAGTGTGTGAAGTATAAAAGCCTTTGCCCTAACCCTTCAAAAGTTATGGTCAATGTTTCTTTAGGTCGAACTCCAAGGTCAAAGGGTAAAATAAATATTTTAAATTCTTGGCATATAAGAAAAGATATTTTCCAAATGATTTAATATATGAAGTATGAAAGCCCTATCCCTTTCCGTTCAAAAGTAATTTTGGGAAAGTTTTTCCAAAATTCCCGTTGTTGGTATCCAATGAAGGTCTTGTCACAAAGAATACATATGTGAAGTATAAATGTCCTAGTATCTTCCATTCAGGAGTTATGGTCAAAGAAAAGTTTGGAATTTTTGTGTAAAAGTGTGTCAAGCTCCAAGGTAAAGGTCCAAGGTGAATTTGATAGTACCCCCCAAAAAGGAATACACATGCATGCGAAATATGAAAAGCATAGTTGCACTAAATTAAAAGTTATGGGCAGACAAACAGACAGACAGATAGACAGACTAACAGACAGAATGACAGACGGAAGAACACAACAAAAACTATATACCCCGAATCTTCGTTTACGGGTGTGTAAAAATTTGCCTAGGCTACGTGCAGTTCTGTCTGAATTATTAAACAATTATAATTCTCTCGCCCTCTCCCGACTCAGAGTTAATTTGGATCGGTAAGTAAGTTTGAAGGTTTTTCCTAGAAAATGTCGACATATATTTTGATGGGATGAGAAAAGTAAGGGGAAAAATTACATACTAGTGTCCTTGAGTTTCAATAAAAAATACATCGAGCTGATTTTAACGTATCGGTCGGTAAAAGTCAAACATTTTTTTAAATATGGTCTTATGCATCTTTTTTAAATATGTGGAATAAAATTAAATCAAATTTAATGATAGTTTCTTTGTGTATAATGTACATATAAGATAAATTATTTTGATTAAGTTGCTCATGAATTTAAAATTAAAAGACCTACTAAATGGATTCTAATCCTTCGTTTACAACTTGTATAAGAAGTGATTAACAGGTATTAATTAGTACCCTAAGGTGACAGAAGCACAACTCGTCAGGATCGATAGAAGATAACTATTTACTTAAGGTTTGTTCTCATGTCGCCTTATCTGTAAAATTTAGCATTCCTATTTCGCCTTAGTAAGCTTTCAGGTGAATTAAGGTGATGAAGATTTAATATATTTAGCATTACGTACTTTTGGTATAACACGTATTATTTCATTCACAGTTTTTTTTTTTTTTTTTTTTTTTATAAATTCCCATTAATTGTTAAATTCAATCTAAAAATTTTATCATTTAAATTTTTATATCAACCTAGTAATAATATTTACAAATACTAAAATTCCCATTTCGCCTTAGTACTTTTTAACTTTTTCTTACCTGTATTTCACAATTAAGGCGAAATAGGAACACACCTTTACGATTAACATACAGTTATAAAACAATGTTCATTTGACACCTGACCTGGAGTTTCACCCCCCCCCCCAGTTTAGACTCAATTCTATGTATTCTATTTATGTAATATATGTTTTTTGTAAACTGATGGGCTGTATTGACCAAAATTATTATTCTGAATAAACGATTACATAAAATAAATAATTAAATCTATCACAAAAAAGACAAGGGAGCAAAATAAATGATATCAGCTGTGTGCCAGGTAATTTGGTCACGGTAAATTCTGTATAAACGAGTACACAGCCACAGGCGGTAACGAGTACCTTGAATATTAACAGGTGTAGGATTGATTGATTGATTGTATATTGTTTATCGTCCCTCTCGAAACAGGTGTAGGAGACACTAATAAACACGGACTAAACATATCTTAATTGCAGTATTGGGGGAAGTTTTTGATAAATATATATACACTAGACAAAATTGCTAACGCACCACCAAATTAAAGTAATGTTTTTCTTTTCAAAACTTATTTAAGATGTATTTGATATATTATCATGTTACAAAATCAAAAAAATAAAGCATTTAATTAAATGTTTGAATTGATAAATAACTTACTACAATTTTAACTGAAGCGTTGTCATTTCATAGAAAACGTGAAAAATGTGTCCATACTTATTTGGAGGGATTAATTTTTTTTCTGTGCATTTTTGTTCTTTATGTTGGTACTGAATAGAATATCAGAAAAAAAAAACCGATTTCAATATTTCCATTTGACGTGGTTTTCTGGGGATTATAGCAAATGTTTCTTCATCAAACGCAATCAAATAATTAACATAAATTAAAGGAAAAACAAAAACTATTTAATTTTTATGATGCAGGAGGTCAATATAAATAAAAATATATGAAAAATAAGAATGGGGTATCGTCTTTCCTCTGCTATAATGTGACATAACATTTTTTAAATTTTTTAATCCAATGCCAGGCAACCCAAGTATAAAATCTTTCATATACAGATAATCAAAGACTCTTCTCTGATATACCTCCTTCCGCATAGTGATGGTTTGTATAATCTGTAATCGGCTAATGAAGAACGCTCCAATAATACATCTTAGACATATATCTACACGTAATTAATTTTGGGTGACATAGATTCATCATTTTCTACGCTTTGTATGAATGAACTTTTTCCCGAAATGGGGAATCGTTATTTTCCTGAAAATGTATACAAACATGTATTCTGCATGATTCTTTGATTGGAAACGGTCATTATTATATCATTTCTGGTATTGACTCAGTCACAAAGAACTACGGGTTACCTGTGGGATGAAGATGGTGTCAGTGTTGTCATAAAGAACTACAGGTTACCTGTGGGATGAAGATGGTGTCAGTGTTGTCATAAAGAACTACAGCTTACCTGAGGAATGAAGATGGTATCAGTGTTGTCATAAAGGACTACAGGTTACCTGTGAGATGAAGATGGTATAAGTGTTGTCATTAAGAACTACAGATTACCTGTGGGATGAAGATGGTGTCAGGTTGTCATAAAGACCTACAGGTTACCTGTGGGATGAATATGGTGTCGGTGTTGTGATAAAGAACTACAGATTACCTGTGGGATGAAGATGGTGTCGGTGTTGTTATAGTCGGAGGGAGTCCACCGTAAAAGCTCATCTGTCCATGACAACATTAAAAATCCCGTGGTAACCAGTTTCTCATTGACCTCGCTGACTTCATTGACACTACTCAAATAAAAACTGACATCCAGCTGAATTGGGTCATCTTGGATGACCGTGGGACGGACTTTGGGCGAGTAATTGTCAAAAAGGTCGCTTATAAGAGTCAAAACATTTTTGTTTGTTTGTGACGTCACAGATTGAATAAAAAAGCAAATATTAAGCAACAATATCCTCATTGTGTAGTAAAACATTCAAAAATCAACCTGAAGAAAATTAGATAACTTTCAGTTGAGTGTATATTCCAGTGCAGGAGACAACATTGCCTGATCAGGTTATTCATTTGATTGCTCTCAAACAACAAGGACGTTTTTATATCCACAAATTTTAAAATTTTCGCTGTCACTTCATTTAGATGAATTTAATTCTCTTACGCCTCATGAACAGTCAGTTTGACCACCGTGCATCAATACAGTTCAGCGTTTGAACGTGAGAATAAAGGTATACCCTTATTCTGTGCACTAGAGCACTTCATAACTAAGGTTCTTACTAAGTTTACTTAACGGAAATTACTATTTACTGAGCAAGAGTGGTGTGTATTATTCTTGTGCAACAGTATATATATCCATATTAACTCTATCTACATGTGCATAAAGAAAATCCCGGGATTGACTGTTAAAGCCCGATTATTATTCAAGAAGCGTTACGGAAGCCGTTGAAATTAAAATTTGTGGAATGAAATTGCGAGCCAAGTTGATTATCAAGTTTAAATGTCACTCAACATTTAAAAAATACAATTAGATATGAAAAATTAAAATCATTGATCAACAGATAAGTAATGTAAGTAATGTTTTCAATTGCCTTATAATCTTTGATGGTGTACAGTGGTGTTTCAGACACAGATAAATCATTAAAGCTATATCAAGTTCTTTAGCATATTATACACATCCATTCTAGCACTGCAGTGATACAAATGCTATACGAATG